GAAAGAAAGAAAGAAAGAAAGAAAGAAAGAAAGAAAGAAAGAAAGAAAGAAAGGAGAAAACCAAAAAAGCCTGGCAGTGGTGGCGCACGCCTTTTGATGCCTCTGATCCCAGCACTCGGGAGGCATAGGCAGGTGGATCTCTGTGAGTTCGAGGCCAGCCTGATCTACAAGAGCTAATTACAGAGCAGGCTCCAAAGCTACAGAGAAACCCTGTCTTGGGGAAAAAAAGGGGGGGGCACCTCATGAGCCAGGCCTCCACTATCCAGTATTCTCTGAATCCTGGCAATCCTGGCCTTCCACAATGACCCATTAAAGTTCTGCTTACAGAATTCTGGGGTTTTTATAATCCAAAACTCTAAATTCTTCTACACTTTCCCATACAAACTAGTTCCACAGGCTTAAGAACCACATAGTCAGTATTAAAACAGCAAAACAGCAACAACCTTATTGCTGGCATCAATTGTCTGTATTAAGTATTTTTCTTGTTGTTATGACAAAAGTAACTTAAGGAAAGAAAGGATTATTTTGGCTCACAGTTTGAAATTACAGTTCATCACGACAGAGAAGGCATGGTGGCAGCTCATCACACTGAGTCTGCAGTTAGGTAACACAAGTTAATGAGGCTAGTATTTGTGTTCGTTTTTTTTTTTTAGTTCATGGCCCCAGCTCATGGAATGCTGCCACCCTCACTTAAGAGGGTCTTCCCACCAAAATTAGTCATATGGTGAAAGCACCTCACAGACAGGCCTAAAGGCTTGTTTCCATGGTAATTCTATTCCCATTAACTTGACAAGATTAATGATCACAATTGGCTTTGGAATCACAGAAGAGACATACCTCTAGGAGTGTCTGTGAGGGGTTTGCAGGAGAGGATTAGCTGAGATCCATCCCCAACAACCAGATATAAAGAGGTTTAGGATGTACTCCTGCCTCTACTGTTTCTTTCTGAACGAGTTCATCCACGGATGCTACTCCTTTTATTCTTTCTTGACATTACATTCTAGAACTTCAGTCTTCTGATACTGACTCAATAGCAACAACTTTCCAGGGAACTTCCAGGCTTTCAGTACTGGATTGAGACAGCTGAACTTTTCAGACTGAACTCTAGGCTTCCCAACCACTCGAACAAGCAAATAGACACTGTAAAGACTACCATGTAAGATAACCTAATAAATTCTATTTCTTTCTCTCTTCTTCCTCCCTCCTCCTTTCCACCCTCTTCTTTGTTCCTCCAGAGCACTGCCTAATAGATTTTAATTTTAAAGAAACTGCCAGTTTCCAAAGTTAGTGTATCTTATTGCATTTCCATCAGTAATACAATGTTTAAAAGGTGATATATTACAAAAATCCTGGCATTAGAGCTTTTAAAAGAAAAGGCAGTTATGAGAGCTTCCTAAGACATTTATTTCTATTAGCTATCATATTTCTATTTTTATTCTATCAAAGTATTATTGAAGTAACTAATTGTGGAAGCCTATTAAAAATAATACACACTGGGGGGAAAAACAAGATCAAATCCTTTAGGAGCTATACAAAAGAAACCTATTGATACAATGTATTGATTTTGAATTTGCTTCTTTCCCTAAATTCACTTTATTTAAAAGAGGAAAATCTTTGAATAACCTTGAGTACATTAAGGTTATTAATGATCAAAGTGATTTTTATAATCCTTAATTTATCATCTTAAGAAGAAACATGTTTTCTCTTTTTCCTTGCTTTGAGACACAGAAATCAAAAATCATAGTGGTAGCTCATCTTGAACAATGAGAGCAAGGACAACGAACAGAAGATGGCAGGATAAGACAAAGAAAAAATGAGTGTATAACCTTTGTGGAAGCCACATGCTTTGCTTGTACTAATTTAAACAACCACAGTACTGGATCGTTGGTTCAGTAGCCATGCATCTTCCAGCTCATAAACTGGCATGTCAATGGATGCATTTAAATAAAAACAGCAAGTGCAGATCTTATATCAACCCCAAGTGAGCATTCTTATGATAATATTTGTATATTCTCTAAGAAAATATAATAATACTTTTAAGAAGCAATATTGAAACAAATTATCTTGGTATCTTTTGATTCATTTTCAGTGAGCAAAGTAAAGTATAAATTGAACCACACATGAAAGCTGACTAGATTAAAACAGTTTAAAGGTTATTTAATATGAATTAGTATATTTGATAATATTTTGATAAAAGCAAAATTATTTGTAGAAATTCTTACCATGGAAAAGTATTCATTCGCATCCTGTTCTTGTAAATCAGAATTCCTCCTGACATCACTCCAATCATGATTTCATTGTTACTTTGATCCTTCAAAATAAACACATGACAATCTAAAATAATTAAAACAGGATTAGATTTTTTTAAAACACACATCGTGAAGATAACACAAAACTGAATTATACTAAACTACAAACCCAACAAATAAAAGGCAAATTTCAAAAAGCTTAAATGTGACAGTATTAAAATTTACTAATCTAGAAGCTGGAGAGACGCTTTAGCAGTTAAGCACTTGCTGCACAAGCATGAGAACCAGAGTTTGATCCTTAGAATCCCATGTGACCTTGGCAGCCCATCTCTAATTCCAGCCTTGGAAGGAGAAAAGTGATCCCCTGAGCAAACTGTCTAGCAAGACTAGCCATATCAGGGAACTCTGGGTTTAATCCTGCCTAACTGAATAAGAAAGAACAGTTATCAAGGATGATTCTTGTCATCAAATTCGGTCTCTATATGCACATGTACACATGTTCAGGTACACCACACATATGTAAGGACCTGTATACCACAGAGAGAGAGAGAGAGAGAGAGAGAGAGAGAGAGAGAGAGAGAGAGAGAGAGGGAGAGAGAGAGAGAGAGAGAGAGGGAGGGAGGGAGGAGAGAAGAGAAAGAAAAAGAAAGGAGAGGAGAGAGAAAGAGAGGGGGAGAGAGAAAGAAGAAAGAAAAAGAAAGGAGAGGTGAAAGATAGAGATAGAAAAGGGGAGGGAAGGGGAGGAAAAAAATCATTGTCCTAAAGTACAAATAATCTAATGATTTCTCTTATGACTAGGACTTTTTGGTAAAAGGCAATCTATAACAAAATATCTATAATACAATGGAAAACCCAGTAACTAATAATATATATTAACATCTTGGAAGAACAAAATAGACAATTCTTGGGGAGTTTCAAAGATCACAAAGAAGAAAATGTAAATTACATTTTGAAGAATGTGTCAGAGTTTTCATATGATAATTGGCAGTTTGAATATTAATGGATCCCCATAACCTCACAGTGACTGGCACTATTGAAAGGTGTGGCTTTGTTATGTCACTGTGGGGGTGAGTGTTGAGGTCTCACAAATGTTCAAGCCATGCCCAGTGTGAAAATTCACTTCCTTTTACATTCAGATCAAAATGGAGAATTCTTCTCCAGCACCACATCTGCTTGAAAGACACTATGTTGAATTAACCCTCTAAAAATGTAAACCACCACAATTAAATGGTTTTCATTTAAAAGGGTTGCCATGGTAATATCTCTTCGCAGCCATAGAAATTCTAAGATAACAACCCAATTTGAATGGACTATTCTGTGTTATTGAGAATGAAAAGTCTCTAAATATTTTTCTTAATTGTCAATCTTGAAAAGTTTTGCCTTTTCACTTGAAATAGTCTATAGACAACCTGAGAGCAAACATACATTTATTTCCTGTAATACATCTGCCCTGAAGCTAAACCACATTAGTGAAACAAATCCTTTAAACCATAGTTTTAATACTTTTTTCTTTTCTTCATATCATTTCTTACTACCTGTAATTTTTTTTTCTTTTCCAACAGAACCTAAATAATAAAGAGTAGAGTTTTTTTCTGTCATCTGTTCATTGAACTCATCTGTAGAAAGAACAGTTCCCAAAAAATCTTTACATATATGTCTTAGCTCTTCAGTTTGGCATAGAAGTCATTGAAACAACCATAACACTCCATTTTATCTTGTTCTTAACTAGTAAATATCAATTCTAGTCAGGTCACTTCAGTTTGATGCTATATTTTGAGATACCATAATTTCATGTTTTATTAATGCTGCTTCCAAGTCTTATGTTTTTCTGCCTAATCAAAACAACCCAAGTTGAAGTCTAAATCATAAACTTCTCAATAAAACCTTAATTAACACCCACACATTTCTCATATTTATCTGTCTCTTAAAACACTTATCTGAAATACCTAATCTCTGTCAGTATAAGTCAATGGCAAACTCATTTAAAACTCATTTTGGATCCAGGTGAATGCCTTTAGTAACAGTTCTCAGGAGGCAGAAACAGGCAGATCACTGTGAGCTTGAAGTCAGTCTGGTCTACAGAGTGAGTTCCATGACAACTAGGACTGTTAGATAGAGAAACCTTGTCTCGAAAAACAAACAAAAAAAGTTTTGGAAAAGATAAAAACTACAGGATTAGCAAGAGACAGGATAAGGTAAGTAAAAAATTGACTACAAAGGCACAACAGAAGCCCGGGAGTGGTTATACAAAGTCAAGTAACTACTAAAACTCCAAGAATGAACATACACTACATACTATCTGGAAAGTAACAACCCTTTGTGAATGCCCACAAATTCTCTCTGCTTTCTTTTAATTTTAAAAAGTATGTGCATATATTTCTATTTAAATATCTATTCTACTAGAAATCAATATTCTCTGAGACTGCAATGATCGGATAAACCTTAAAATTGACATCTGTGATTTAGGGAGATCAGCAGCAAATTAAAAGAAACTTTTTATGTATCATTGCTCTAACACAAAATTTTGCCTAGTAGGGGTACTTTTATTTATTTAGTTTTTAATTTTTTATAGATTCTATGATTTCCATCATGCATCCCGATCCACTCATTTCCCTATCCCTTCACTTCTGCACTCTGTCCTTGCAACCTCCCACACAAAAACAAAATTTAAAAGTAAAAACAAACAAAAAACAAAAGAACAAAAACAAAATCTTGGCGTGGAAGCTGGAGTGTGGCCCAGTGAGTCATATATCTTTTAGTCTGTGTTCATTGCAAAGAGTCATTGGTCTGGTTTGAGGCCTCTGGCTTCTGCTACACCCTCCACACTGGGCTCTCATTGGGACTCCTCTTGGATATCCTTTTGTTGTCTCATGCCATGGATATTCTGTAGCTTTGGATTTGCAGGTATGACCCCTTTACATGCTCCAAAAGATCATAGATGAGATGGATGCTGGGTGGGCTGCCTTGTAGTCCTAGTACTGAGCCTGGGTGGCAGATGGATTGGTCAGCCCACCAGCTTTCCCTCATCATCACCATCTGTTCCAGCTAGCTCAGTCAATGGAGTAGACATTTCTCCTGCTCTCACACCCTTCAGTGCAGTTCAGTCACACTCATACCACCAGGGCCAACTCTACCTTTTTGCCCAGGCAAGGTGCAACGCCCGCTCTTGGACTGCTGTACTTGGTGAGGGACAGGATCAGCTCTCCCATTCTCATGTTCCAAGGCTAGTTCTCCCACCTATTGCAGGTGGTGGGACTGGGGGTAGGAGGATCTGTTTCTTTTTACCTTAAAGTTGCTATTGACTGACAGGTATGATGGCAAACATCTTTAACCCCAGCACTTGGGAGGCAGAGGCAGTCCTATCTCTTTGAATTTGAGGCCAACCTGGGCTATAGAATGAGTTCCAGGACAGCCAGGGCTACACAGAGAAACCCTGTCTCAACACCCCTCCCCACCCCCAAAAAAACTGTCATTGACTTTCCCTAGTCTACAATTCCCTATTCTTATCATTCATATAATCTTCTCGCAATTGTGTGTTTTTTCACATGTGCCATGTTCTCTTTTTGATTTCAAACTTCCATTCGTGCTGACTGCTCTACAGTAACAAGAAGAAAATCACTCTCGTGACACACTCCCTTCTTTCAGCATAAGTGAGTATACTACTAGAACCATCCAGGGGCTACTATATCGTTTACATACTGCTGCCACACAATCCCACAACATCCTGTACTTTTCCCCTCAGTCTCATGGACGTAACTGTTAATACAAGATCCTATCCTGTGAGTTTTATGAGGGCAGGAATAATTATTTTATGTACTAAATAATGCTTGGAGCGAATCTTGTAGAAAGCACAGAATATCCCCAACACAATGATGGCTTAAAACATTTTAATCTTGAAGTGTGAAATAAATAAGTTTGCACCACTTGAAAGCAGAGAGCAAACATTTCCCCTTGCTTGTTATTTCAAATACACTTTTGCCTATGATATTCAATTAAAACTTCAGTTTTCTTTCTGTGTTCCTCTTTTTGGAAAATTCCCATTATATTTACTGAATGATCTTTTGAGGTCTTAGTATGCACATCTAAGACATAATGCCTCTTTTTAGCCTTTAAAAAATATTTTGGAGGCAGGCAGTGGTGGTGCACACCCTCAGTCCCAGCACTTGGAAGGTAGAGGCAGGCAGATCTCTGTGAGTTCAAGGCCAGCCTGGTCTACAATGCCTGTTCCAGGATAGTCAGGCAGGTCTGTTTCACAGAGAAACCCTGTCTCGAAAAAGCAGGCAAACAAAAAAAAAAATTTTATAAATAAATATATAATATAAATATATAAATAATATAAATAATAAATATATATAACTATATATTTAGGCTTGCCTGGATGAAGAATCTTACCTCAAGTTCACAGTGCACATATGATACGCCACCATGTGGAACAGTTTTTGTTTGGTTTGGACAAAACATGTTCCTAAATAGCTAACTACTTAAAATTTAAATACCTTTAACCTGACACTCTACATTTACTACTGTCTCAGAAACTTTTTACCATCTAACAGTTTAAACAAGTGAAAATTGCTAATTAAATCAATAAATAACAATACAGTGAGTTATACGAGATTTAGTTAACCTTGCATTTAAATTTTTTAAGGTTTAATATTTTTTGCATTTAATGGCCAAGAATCTCTACAGAATAAAAATCACTTAGAAAACTGCAAATGAGTAAAACTCCCTTTTCTCACCAGTTTAAAGCATAAACTAGTCTAAAAAAATGTAGTTACATCAGTTGCAAACTTTCCTGTAATAAAAAGCAAAATCTAGCTGTACAAATACAATGAGAGTATGTAATAAACCTAATCTCTAAAATAATAAGCCCCAAGGAAAATAAAGGGCTATTTTTTAAAAAGAGCAAGAAGTTCAAGAGACACTTAAAGAATTACAAGATATTAATCGTTTGAGGAAACCATCAGGTCTTTTAAAAAGTGAGACAGACATATGATCTTGAAACATAAGAAGTAGAGTTCACTGCTCCAGACCTGATTGGGTGAGGCCCTGAAAAACAAAGCACTAGAGGACAGAACTCTGAGTAAGGACTTCTGCAGTGGACTCTGTACCTCCATGTGTCTGTGTATCAAGGTAAATTCAATAATGTATCTAAGGACCAAAAGGCTACCTTCCGACTGGGAGAAGATCTTCACAAACCCCTCATCAGACAAAGGTCTGATCTCCAAAATATACAAAGAACTCAAGAAACTAGACACTAAAACTCTAATTAACCCAATTAAAAAATGGGGTACTGAACTGAACAGAGAATTCACAACAGATGAACTCCGAATGGCCAAAAGGCACTTAAGGTCATGCTCAACCTCCTTAGCGATCAGGGAAATGCAAATCAAAACAACTTTGAGATATCATCTTACACCTGTCAGAATAGCTAAACTCAAAAACACCAATGATAGCCTATGCTGGAGAGGATGTGGAATGAGGGGAACACTCATCCATTGTTGGTGGGAATGCAAACTTGTGCAGCCACTGTGGAAATCAGTGTGGCGGTTTCTCAGGAAACTGGGAGTCAATCTCCCTCAGGACCCAGCAATTCCACTCTTGGGAATATACCCAAGAGATGCCCTATCATACTACAAAAGCATTTGTTCAACTATGTTCATAGCAGCACTATTTGTAATAGCCAGAACCTGGAAACAACCTAGGTGCCCCTCAATAGAAGAATGGTTAATAAAGGTGTGGAACATATACACATTAGAGTTCTACTCAGCGGTAAAAAACAATGACATCTTGAATTTTGCATGCAAATGGATGGAAATAGAAAACGCTTTACTGAGTGAGGTAAGCCAGACCCAAAAAGAGGAATATGGTATGTATTCACTCATATGTGGATACTAACCAAAATTAAAGGTCTTTGAGCCGATTATTCATGATCCTAGAGAAGCTAAATAAGAAGGTGAACCTGTTGAAAATCAAGTAGCTATCTGCCTGGAGATTGGAAATAGACAAGAGTCCCAGGTAACCTCGGGTGCATGGGGGGGTGGGAGGGTTGTTGGAAGGGGAGAGGGTTAGAGAGAAGGGAGTAGGGGAGGAATGGGGAAAGCTAGGTGGACTGGGATGGGGGGAGGGAGGAAGGATGGATATGAGATCAGGGAAGAATATATTTCAACTAAGGGAGTCATTTTAGGGTTTACAGGAGACTTGATTATAAATGGGATCCCAGGTCCAAGGAGAGATCCCCAGACTGTTCTCTAGACAGAGGAGAGGGTGCCTGAACCGGCCTTGGCCCATAACCATACTGATGAATATTTTGCTTATCACCATAGATCCTTCATCTGACGATGGATGGCGATACAGTCGGAGACCCACATTGGAGCACCGGACTGAGCCCTCCATGGTCCAAATGAGGGGCAGAAGGAGGAAGAACATGAAAAAAACTCAGGACCGCGAGGGGTGCGATCACCCTCTGATACAAGGGAACGGATCTAATGAGAGCTTACCAAGGCCAGTTGGACTGGGACTGAACGAGCATGTGATCCAACCAGATTTTCTGAATGTGGCCGGATTCTCTGAATGTGGCTGGCCCGGAGCCTTTCTGAAAAGCCACTGACAATGACACTGGGACTTGTTTCCTCTGCATTTACTGGATTTTTGGGATCCAGTCTGTTTGGATACTCACCTTCCGGGACCTGGAAGGAGGGGGGAGGAACTTGAACTTCCCACAGGGCTGGAATCCCTGACTGCTCTTAGGGATGGAGAGGGAGGAGGAGGGGGAGGGGGAGAGAGGGAGGGGGAGAGGGGGAGGTGTTGTGAGGAGGGGCGGAAATGGAAACTTTCATAATTTAATAAACTTTGAAAAAAAATAATGTACTAAGGAAAATCAAGGCTTTTCCCTTTCCTCCCCATTCCGCCTAATACTAGCCTAATTAGCCTCAACAATAAAAACTCCACTGCTGACTCAACTGATGACTATAATTCTACTGAAAATGGTTGTACTTTAGGTACTTAAAAGGAATTTAAATCTTGATAACTCACAAAAAGAAATATAGCTACATATGATGGACAGTCATTCACAAACACCAGGAAAAGGGTAACAACTTCTGAAAGGAAAAATGTTTCACACAAGATAAACATTACACTGTGAAATGCCACTTTAATAAAGAAATGTCAGACAAATACAAACATGACACATTGATATTCTTTATTTGGGGCTTTACAAGTAAAAAATGACCAGCTCAGTGTTGTAAACCTTAAAGAATGAAAGTTTCAGTGATATGACAGCATCTTGCATGATCACGATTATCAAATATTTATACAAAAGTACTTTCCTAAAGCAACCTTATGTTTAAAAAAAACACATATTCTAAAACTACTGTCCCCTTACAGTCTACAAACATGGTTTTTACAACATAAACAACCACCTGGAAAATATAAGAACAGTCTTTGTGCACCAACTTTTTTGAAAATATTTATATTGGGAGGAAATTTTTATTGCAACTATGTCAACAGCAAACACAAATTATCCTGTTACCAAGTTCTCTCAGAGAATTAAAATTTTGAGGAGTTGGGAAGTAAGAATAAGAGTACTTGCTCAACACACACAAGGCCCTGGTTCAATTACTCCAGCCCTATACACAGACAAAAAGATTTTAAAATCTTTGAGACTAAGGAATGAAGCCTAACTCAACATCTAAGTAATTTTTCTTTACTTACCCTTGCATAGTGGAATTCAACTCCATAGAGTTCTAAGGTACGTGCTGTGTTTAGGTAATTAAATTCTGCTTCTGCAGGAGATAAGCCACTGTAAAGAAAACATCAGGTCAAAAACTAGATCCATAATACAAATTGTCAAATAACAAAAAGATTATGTAAAGAAATGAAGAATCTAACTAAGCACCAAGTAGGAGTACTCCTTTTAGTTTTTTGTAGTAACATCTAACTTACTCCGCTGGCATCCTTTTACCATATTAATTTCTTTATTTTCCAGAACTATAAAAATACTGTGAGTCCAGGGGTTTATGAGGTTATGACCTTAAAAGAGAACCTACTACCATCCTTTTACTAGACTACTATAATTCCTCACTACAACCTTAAATTTTTCTTTATTGCAGTTAAGTATAATTCTCATTCTTTCATCAAAGAAACTTCTCTTTACAGTAAACAGAGCCCATCAAAAAAAATCCGTAACAGGTCATAATACAGAAAAAACAATAGGTCATAGGGGACCTAGTCCCACTAAATACATCTATAACACAACTCCTGAACCTAAGAATAGGAGAACATTGAGAAAGAGGGGGCAAAGACTACAAGAGCCAGCAAACCAGGAAGTCTCCTGTGAGATTCTGTTTCCTAGAAATAATAGAAAAGCTTCACCTGTGATACTTCAAGAATATGGCTGCTTAAACAAGACCTGAACGATGGTGATATCAAAAGACACACTAACAGAGAAAGGGGAAATTTCATAAGGTCTCATCCACAAAAAACAATTAATGCCTGCTAAGAAGGGAAAAATTAGTCTTTTCCAGGGAAGAACCGTCTAATTGGTTATCGAATACCAAATGGTTTGTCAGTCCTGAAATCACATACACACAGGCCACACGAAGCAAGCTGTACTCATACATTTTATGCCTATATATGTATATATATATGTGTGTGTGTTTATGCGTGCATAATAGATTTATGTATTATATATAACTATAATAAAGAAAAAAGATATCAATTTAAGAGTGAGTCAGAGGAGCAATGAAGGGAATAGAGGGAGGAAAGAAAAGGAGTAAAGTGATAAAATATTTTAATTAAAAATAATTTCTAGAGACAGTGGCAATTAGAAAGAAACTATTGGAAAGTATTACAGGCCAGAAAAGAAAATAAAAACAATAGGCAAGTCTTAAAACCTCTGACTGATCTTATAGCTGTTAACAAAGCTTCTTAACTTTCAGATATAACTCTCAAATCTTTCTCACAACAGTTTATCACCATAGCCACACGTAAAACCTACAGGGAGTTTCAACATGCGACACTGTCACAGAATACACAAATACAAGTATCAAGAGGTTTTTAGAGCAACCTTGTAGCCTTAAATTTCTTTAGTCTTTAAATTTCTGTAGTCTTCAATTTCTCTACTTTAACCTCTAAACTATTTATTTCTTTTTACTATATATTTCAAAACATATATATAACAGATAGTATAATACTGACTGAAGAAATAGTCTTTCATCTGAGATGCATAGAAGTTCAATTCCACAGTGAGGCTAAGGTCCAAGTTTCATATTTAAAAAACATTTCTAGTGATTCTTAAAACAAAAATTACAGGATTACTCTAAAATACAGTCTTTTAAAAAGGTCTACTCTATTTAATATCCAGTTCTAATGAACTTAGTTATATGGTGTTAGCAGGCAATATAGCAAAGAATAATAAAAGCTAAGATATCAACCTTTGCATCACTGATACTGAAAAGGTCAATGCATGATCAAAATGAATGACCCTTCAACAACAATAGTCCTTCCAATTAAACTTAACTCTGTTTTTGTTTATAGAGCTGAAAAATAAGCTTTTCAAATTAGCTTGTGTAAAGTACAAGCCTTGTCCTTATTTAAGGAACTTTAAAAGGGAAAATTTAAAATTCCAAAACCAATCCTTAAGGCCAGGTAGGTAGTAATGGCACACAACTTTAATCCCAACACTTTGGGGACAGAGGCAGGTTGATCTCTTTGTGAGTTTGAGGACAGCCTGGTATACACGGTGAATTCCAGGACAATCTGGTACCGCAAAGATGTTGCCTTGAAAAAAAAACAAATGTCTTCTTGAAAAAATGTCACAAGGAGCTGAAGAGTTGGCTCAGCAGTTGAGCTCAGAAGAGTATTTGTTGCTCTTAAAGAAGAGCCAGATTCAATTCTATACATGGCAGATCACAGCCAGAACCAGAGGTTCTGACACTCCCTTCTGAACTCCTTGGGTACCAGGAAGGCACGTGGTCCATAGACATACATGCAGGCAGAACACTGATACACATAAATAAATAAATAAATCTTTTTCAAATGTCACAAAAGATAAGACTAAAATAAAATCAAAGTTGAACACTACAGTGAATGAAACAAGTCAACTGCCTTTAAATGAACATTAAAAGAACTGCAATGGGTTGGTACTTTTCTCCTCCTTAGTCATTACCAAACAGAGTCAAAATCTTTCAAATATCTAAAAACTAAGAAAATTATCAAGTCCATCGCTATGCATATTATAAATACATTACTCTAAAATTTTCGTTTTTAAAATTAAAGCTTTATTTTATTTTTAATTACATGTATGTATACTTATGGATGGGTATGTGCACGTGAGTATGGGTGTCCACAGAGGCCAAAAAGGGCATTAACATCCCTTGAGCTGGATGTTAATTGTCATTGTTGTGAGCCACCTGATCTGAGTGCTTGGAACTAAACTAGGAACCTTTGTAAGGGCAACAAAGCACTCTGAGCCATTGAGCTATTTCTCCAGCCACCTAAAATTCCTTCTCAAAGAACTGACAACGTTATATAAAAGCAGATAGACTCGATTTATATATAATTTATGGCTGATAAAGAAATTAAAGCAAGGCTCATATATTTTGTGTAATAAGCAATGAAATGCTTTTAGTATAAATTTTATATATATATTTCTTTATAATATATGTAATATAAATTTCTATACTATATAAACACAACAATAAAATTAAGAATGATGTGAAACAATTCTTTTTCTAGAAAGACTGCCCATAAATCTTACCAAATAAGCAGAATATTAAATAAATGCTTACATATGCTGCTGATGTAACTTTGTAATTTCTTTTTCAAAATCTTGAGGTTGACTGGGAATGAAAGAATAATCTGAGAGGTAGCCTGGCAAATTTTCTGACTGATTGTAGTCTCCAAGTTCAGCTAACAAGAAAAAGAAAATATCATTTTTCATAAATATTTTAATTGTACTCAAATCAACAATGTCATTAATTTATATATACTTATGAAAGGAATGCATGTTTCTAGTATAACAACATTAAATAAGTTGCAATAAATCATGTATTCTTCTGGGTCTCAATATAGAAAATGTTTCAAGAATCAAAGTATTACTTGCTAATCAGCTGGACATTTCACTGCATTCCCTCAGCAGTTTCTACATTCTACACATCTAAAGAATTTCTGTATTTAAAGGCATTGTATTATCAATATAGACTACAAAACCACATGCTACTTGACTTAAAAGTAAGCTGATACTTACACTGAACAGCAAATGAAGCTAAAAGGGCAGCAGTATTATAAGGACAGGACAATCTAGTAAGACAAAAAAGAAAATACATAATCCAAGGATGAATATAATTTCAAATGCACTGTAGTTTACATTATACTACTGATTCTGGAAATTTCCATATGCACTAATTTTAATCACAATTAAATTAGTTACGCTGGGCTTTGTGGCATACATCTATGATCTCAACACTTACGAATTTGAGATGACTGGCAGTCTGAGGCCAACCTAGGCTACATAATAAGATAATGTCTCAAAAGACAAACAAAAGAATCCCCTAAAAAGTCTGATAAAAGGAACTAATACTACAAAAACCCATTTTAAAAAATGTGTTACAGCAATCAATCATAAGTTATTTAATACAGAATTTAAAGGTTATTTTTGTTTTTGTTTTTTATTGTTTTTCCTTTTTTGGTTTTGTGAGACAGGGTTTCTCTGGGTAGCTTTGGAACTTGGCTGGGAACTCTCTCTGTAGACCAGGCTGGCTTCGAACTCACAGAGATCCACCTGCCTCTGCCTCCCGAGTGCTGGGATTAAATGCATATGCCACAACTGCCCGGCTGATTTAAAGTATTTTTATACTGTAAAAATAAAAATTAAAAATAGCTCACCTTCCAGTAAGAATGTCTTGCTTAATTTGCAAAAAATACTGATACCTTTTTTAAAAAAAGATATTTATTAGAATCAATTTGAATTCTTATATATTATACACATATTAATGAAACTAAATATTTAAATATTTCCTTTTGTAGTCTACACATTAGCAAATAAACTCAGCATATGCATACATTAGCAAAAAATACCAGAAGTAGGCTTGACTACAAGTCTTTAAAATTCATTAATACATAAAATTTTGCATTTTGAATATCTTGTTTCAATTATAAAACTACTCAAGACTTCTAAGATTTCTGCTACCAGGAAGGAGACTTGGGAGCAACAGTCTAAGGATTGGTCCATGCAAGAAGAATTGGAAGCATAGTTGACATAGAAATAGACAACACACACAGAAAACAGTGAAAGGAAGCAATCCTGTCTGTATAAACAGGAAGCCATTACAAGGACAAGCCTATGTGCAGATCAGTTTGTTATTATGATTAATGTAGAAGAACAACTGTCTACTTCCACTGGAGTTAAGAAAGCTCTTTCACCAGAAAATTAATTGAATTCCTTCTCCTGCTATTGCTCTAGTATTAGAGTGGTTACACGATCAGCTTCCTTTAACACAAACAATAGTATACTGTGACATGCTACTGAGGCTGCCTACAAAGTGGCACTGTCCTTCTGTCCCTGATAGAGGGCAAGCTAGTCAATACCCGGACAAAATCACCTGTGTTCAATTGGTATAAAAACAATTTCATGATTTCAAACATTAAACAGGAAGTTTATGGGCTTCATTCAACTTTTAAAAAGTCAAAACGCAAACTGGTATTATATACTTAATTCAATACAGCACAATTTTATCAGATATTTTTAGTTTCATAATCAAAAGCTAAAGATGGGATTGGTGGCATAAGTCAATGGCAGAGTATGTGCTTACCATGTACAGGCCTAATATCACTAAAAAGAAGAAAAAATTAAAAGGTTTTTGGTACAAAAAGAGTTTTATAGTTGTGATTTAAAGGTAATATATGCATTTGATATAATTTTAAAATCCTACACAAATTATACTTATCAAAGATCACTTATATATTCATTTAACAAAAAAGGAATTCTCAATACAAACTAGAATTTAAGTTCTAAAGCAGTCTATTACTTCAGGCAAATTACTAAAATTTGGGCAAGCCTTAATTTCTACATTTGTAAGGGAAATAAGATCACTTGCCAGGAGTTTTAGGAATTTAAAAAATTCAGTTCTAATGATGCTGATACTTGCCAAAAATGAAGTACATTTTATCATGATGCAAGACTTTGATGCCATTGGTTTTCTTCCCACTAATTCAAAATGCTATCTCAAGCAAGGAGATCCAGGAAACGTTCTTTTTTGTGAAACCTAAACTACTCCCAAAGAGTGAGCAGCTGTGGCTAAGGGACACTTGATACTAATGATGATCATCACAGCAAAATATTTCTTTTTCTTTCTTTCTTTTTGAAAATAGAAGTTTTCATATAATTTATTGATTATGATTTCCCCTCCCCCAACTCCTCCCAGATCTTCTCCACTTCCCCACCCACCCAAATACACACCCTTTCTCTCTCTCTCATTATAAAATAGGCATCCAAATAGCAACAATAACAATTAATATAAAACAAACACACAAAACAGAATAGGACAAAACAAACACACAAACAGACCACCCCCACAATAAAGCACAAGAAACATACTGACACAGAGGAAAGCACATTACACACACACAGAAAATCTATAAAAACAAAATTGAAAACCTTTGTCTATATGTATTTGTCATCAGTGTGTGGGAATGTGTACATGAATACATGAGCCCACAGAGACCAGAAGAGTACCCTTAAATCCCTGGAAGTAGAGTTACAGGCAAGCTGTGAGGCACCTGACATGGTGCTGGGAACCAAAGTAGGGTACTCCGCAAGAACAGTATGTGCTCTTAATACTGAGCCATCTTCATCAGCCCCACACTAAGTACTGCTTAGCCCTGGCTCCCTTGCTATAATACTAGAATTACCTGAGGAACTATACATGTCTTTACTCAGGGGCTATGTCAGTGACATTACACCAGAATATCTAAGGGTATAGACAACTACTGTGGTTTAAAGTGCTCCCAAATAATTATAAATTACTAATCAGGGTAGAGAATCCCTTTTGTATACTTATGATGATTAAATAAAATGTAGTCATGTACCACAATTTACAAACAGCAATACTTATAAGGATTAAAGAGCATTGAAATTAAACATTATTTCTAATAAAAACAGAGAATCTTCTACACTGATAGCTTGAGCACAAGTTCCCAACTGTTTACACAATTTTACTCATCTTCAAGTTCTGACTCAATTAACAGCGAAACACACCCTCATTGTTTCCATTATATACTATTAACACACATATAGGTTCTAATAGGAAATTCAGTTTTCTGTGTGAATTAGATTTTGAACCCAGCTATTAGATGAATGTGAGATGTTCCCACAGGCTCGAGTTTGAACACTTAGTACCCAGCTGGTGGTGCTGTTGTGGAAGGTTGTAGAGCCTTAAAGAGGAAGAACCTTGCTAGAGGAAGTTAGTCACTGGGAGCAGGCCTTGAGGTTTGATAACCCAGTTCCCTTCCTGTTCTCTCTCTGCTTTCGGGTTATATATGTAATATAACACCAGTTGCTTCATGCTCCTGCTGACATACTTACCCTGATGTGATGGGCTGTAACCAATGCTAAACTCCAAGTCAAAATGAGCCCTTCTTCCCTTAAGTTCTACTTGACAAGTATTTAATCATAACAATAAGAAAAATAACTAATACAATATAACTTGCAATTCATGTAAAATTAGGTAAACTTTTAGTATCCTGAGAATTATTTATAATGATAAGATTATTTTAAACATTTAACAGAAACAACATATTTGCTAAATTTAGTATGTAAACTGTATTGTGATACATAAAATATGGTTTTAAGGAAGGAAAAGCAACAACAAAAACAAAGCTATAATGGTAAATTAAACACAACTTTGTGTTTCAAGGCAAATTAGCATACATTCTATTACTGTTGCAATGGTTCCACCTGTCTAATGTAGCACCTGTACTCTAGTGTCTCCTCATTATCAAAAAAGTAACATCTGCAAACAGAAAAGACTCTCAGGGACGATGACCTTTTTTTAAAAGCTTGGGTAAGTATTGAGAACTCCACAGAAATTCAAGGATTGATTCAACCAATTTATTATTTTGCTGCTCCATTCTATCACAACACTACAATAATTCTGATAGTCACTCTCCAATACTCTTATATCTGAGAAGTGTACAGAAAGTATAGTATTCTAATTCTTTTCATTTAAATAACTAATTCTGCATTTCACCAAACACACAAGGTTATCATTCAGCTTACTTTAACAGTGACTGTCATTACTTCTCTTATTTCTACCCTAAACATTTTACCTAGGTCTCAAGAACACTGCTGAAATGCTGCTATAGATCATTCTCAAGTAGAAGTGACACGCTGAGACTTAGAATGGGCAGTCAGATGGGCATGGAGAGGCCCAAATGTGCTTTATCACTGTAACATTTTCTTTGGAATTAAAAGTTAATATCATCCTTCACATGATATTAATATATATGAAATCTTATGCTCTCCTCAACAAAAAGAAAGGAAAAACCTAGAATATGCTTTTGATGAAAAAACCATATATACCAAAAACTCTCAATATGCAGCATGCCTTGGATATAAGCCAGTGCCATCTCATATTCTCATTCAGTTTCAGCAGTGCTGCTTGTGGTTGAAGAGGTGGCTCTGGGTATTCAAAACCTGAAAGCTCTCCCAGTCATCCAAAAAGGGAGGAAAGGGTTACCGTAGGACAATTAATAAACTCTTCAGTATAAATTAGAAGTTTAAGTTTTCAGCATAGTCATTTATTTTTGCCTAGTTATTTGCATTTTTCATATTAAATCTTTGCCAATGTTTTCAAAAGAAACTATTCCATAAACCCACCTTGTATATTCTTCTTGTAACTTGTTGGGATCACTTACAAAGAATTTGACTCTGAAATTCAAACTGTAAGGAGATCCTCCTAAAATTAACAAAAACAGCTCTAATTAATCAGATTATGTTAGGCTATCATCTTTATAAGGAATATTTGCAAAACATCAAGTAAATAGTATGCTCACTCTTTAGCTGCTTCCTTATTGGTTTGTTTGGATCCAGCCACCTCTGAAAAATAAAGAGAGATTTCTTTTTTCCTTGAGAAACTAACATATCAGTTATTGTATATCTGTTCCAATTAAAGACCTCATTTTGGAAGATGGTTAGGTAGAAGCAAAATTAAATTTGAAGCAATATTGCTTCATAATTGCTAGTGATGCTGAAGATTCACCCATGGCAGGTGAGACTGGGCTGCATTAGAAAGGCAGTGCAGCAGGAGCCTGGGAGCAAGCAAGTCAGCAAAGATCCTTCAGTGTTTCTGTTTAGGCTCCTGCCTTCATGTCCCTTGAGTAAGACAAAATAAATAAATAAAACCCTTTGTCCCCAAGTTACTTTTGCTCAGTGCTGTATCACAGCAAATTAGCATAGTCATAAACTACATTTACCTTAATGTGAGATTTATCTAATTGTGAGATTAATGTACCCAAAGCGGGATTTCCTTGAACAGTTTTTCTTAAAACTAAAATACTCTGATATAAAAAACACAAATACACTGGGTGTGATGGCACACACCTCTAATCCCTGCCCTTGGGAGGCAGAGGCAAGCAGATCTCCATGAGTTTGAAGCTAGCCTGATCTACAAAGTGACTTCCAGGTTAGCAAAGGTGATTATACAGAGAAAACCTGTCTCAAAAAACCTTAAAAAAAGGAAAAAAAAAAGAAACACAAATATTTAATTAAATGTGTGAAGATGACATAGCTTAGAAATAATATTATAATAAGCATTGAGAAACTTAATAATGTTCATGAATGACATCAGTGAGACAGGATTTAGGTTTTTGATTAAAACTGTAAAGGTGAGGCTGCAGAGACAGATCAGAGGTTAAGAGGACTGGCTGCTCTTTCAGAGGTCCTGAGTTCAATTCCCAGCAACCACATGTTGGCTCGAAACCATTTCGGGCTCACAAATATCTGTAATGAGATCTGGTGCCCTCTTCTAGCTTACTGTAAATGCTGTACACATAATAAATAAATCCTTAAAAAAATGTGAAGGTAGAAACTGATAACATGTAGTGTTGGGCTGTTAAATGACAGAATCCATTTAAAAGAATTATTTAATCAAGAAAACAAACAAAAATTAGGTTTGGGCTGGCGAGATGGCTCACTTGCATAGAATGGCATTGGAAGCTAAGCCTGATGACCCAAATTTAAGCTCCTACGGATGGTGGACTTGATTTTCAAAATTTGCCCTCTGGCCTCCACACCTGTTCTGTGACACACACAGTTGCATACTACCACATACATACACACAATAAGTAAATGTAAAAAACAAAAAGATGAAAAAATTCAACAAACAAGTCAACCCACAAAGAACTCTTTTACATCAATAAGAAAAAAAGTGAGCCAGGTGGTGGTGGCACATGCCTTTAATCCTGGCACTGAGAGGCAGAGGCAGGAAGATCTCTGTGAGTTCAAGGCCAGAGAGTTCAAAACCCTGTGGGGGGAAGGGGAGAAAGAAAAAGAAGAAAGACCAGTATTAATAGAAAAAAATAGGCAATGGACAGTAAGTTCACAACTAGGGAATAAAAGGCATTTAAATATATAAAGATAGCCAATCTAGATCATAATTAAAGAAATTCAAAATAAATGCTATGCTGGGCTCTGCTTTTGAGACAGGGTTTCAGTAATTAAAACGAATGTTGCTTTGAACTTATAAACTCCCTCCAGAGCCTCCAAAGTGCAAGTACAGGCATGTGCCACCACACCTCTGTACACAACAACATAAACTTTTTAAAATGAGTGTCACTCTAATGAATGACATTGGTATGTCATTATGTCTTTGTTTCATTTCTAATTGTTGGGATAAAATACCCTGACAAAAGCTACTTAAAGGTGAACGTGTTTGTTTTAGCTCACAGTACCAGGACCACTCTAGAAGTTCACTCGAGAAAGGAGGTCACAGCTGCAGGAGATAGAAGCAGCTAGCTATTTATACCACATCCATGGTCGAGAGCAAAGAGTAATAAAACAGTGCACACATGCCGGCACTTTGCTCACTTTCCTCCTTTTAGTACAGTTCAAGGGAATGATTCCACCAATTTTAGGTCTTCCTTCCCCTATCAACTAACATACTCAAGAAAATCTCACACAGACATACCCAGGGGCCAATATACACAGTTCCTTATTAGGAATCTTTCCCAGGTGATTCTAGATTGTATCATATTGACAACTAAAACTAACCAATACAAACTACTTTTATTGCTAGCCGATTACTACTCCAGTCCACAGATGTGTCACTGTGGATGGCTAAGTTATTCTGTTCTTTTGAATAATATGAACATCTAAGCATAATTATTTTTGTGTGTGTATAGAAATGTTTTCAAGCCTTAAATAGATTTTGAAAACAAGTCTTATAAATTTTATTTTACTTTGCGGTGTGGGAGAATGTTATGTATTCTGTCAATTACATTTTAAATAAACATTGATTGGCCAGTAGGCAGGCAGGAAGTATAAGTGAGACAACCAGACACGAAGTATAGGCAGGTCAAGTAGAAGAGGAGAATTCTGGGAAGTGGGAAGCCCATTCCTATGCAGTCCCAGCCCAGACACAGCAAGATGTGACTGTCTCGCTGAAAAAGGTACCGAGCCATGTAGCTAATATAGACAAGAATAATGGCCAAATATGAGTTATAAGAGTTAATAAGAAACCTGAGCTAGTGGGCCAATCAGTTTATAGTTAATGTAGACCTCTGTGTGATTTCTTTGGGACTTAATGACTGTGGGAACCGGATAGGACAGAAACCTCAGACAACCTGTGTATGCAAATGTATAAACATGCTCATGTGTATGTGAGTAGACCTGTGCGCATGAACATGTATGTATGTGAAGGCTAGAGAATAATCTTGGATGGTGTTCCTCAGAAGGCATGAAATCAGAGATGTAGAGTGCTCCAATTTGGCCAGTATTTGGTCATCTTCTAGAAGAACTTCCAGTAGAAATAGATTGTGATTGTTCAATTATACTTGGTATTATTGTTGATATGTTGAAAGGATTAGCTTCACACAGCCTTCCTACTGTATCTTAGCTAGTGAGTGCTACTGGTTTTTTTTTTAACTATGGCAAGTGTAATTTCCAACATTTTTCATTGTTTTTCTTATATAAATGGTATAACTTCTCTAATCACCACACTGGCATCTGTATGTGGTTGCATATGGAGGGCAGAAATTAATGTTGGAAATCTTCCTCAAACACAACACCTTATTTTAAAAATATATTATATTTTATTGGGGGTACATAAATATACCATGTGTGCACATTGAGGTCAAAGGACTACTTTCAGGACCATGTGGGACCCAGGGATCAAACTTGGGTTATCAGATGCAACAGTAAGTGCCTTTACTGAGCCATCTTGCTGATCCTCCAGTTTATTTTTTGAAACAAGGCCAGTAAGACACAAGGGCTCTTCCTGTTTCTGCTTCCTTGATGATGGAATTATAATGTACTGTTGTGCTTAGCTTTTTATATGGTTTCTGTAATATCAAACTCTAGTCCTAATTATGTATGGCAAGCACTTTACCAACTCAGTCTTCCAGCCCAAAAGATGTTTTATTTCAATATTTATTGTATACATACTAATGTGCCAAGCCTTGCTGTATGCAATGCATATGTAAAAATTCAATTCATCTCCTTAACCCCAGACTGATACTATTTGTATATCTTTACAGACTGCTCTTCCTAATATAAATTATGGTTTATTCACTTGAGTAAATCTATTTTATAGTGTTGACTTCCCTCAAATATTGGTGTCTACTTGTTAAATACTTATTATTTGTAACTACTTTCTGTCTTCGGAGAAAAGACAAAATATATAGTTTGACTCTGAATAGTTGGCGAGGGATTCATAAGCTGCTACTAGGTTCTAACAGCTAGTGTCCATGTTTATCTAGTCTCTGGTTCACCAAGATGTGAACTGCTCTGCCCCACTAGTTCTTCCATGTCATGATAAACTAGCATCTTTGAACTGTGTTTCTACTAGGTATTTTATCACAGCAATACAAAAGTAATCAGTGGGGAAACTTTTAGTATAGCTATGTTGTACTGTCTAGTATCTTTCCATTTCAACTTGAAGAATTTGCCTTAAGCATTTAAGATAAATCTAGTGGCAATGTAATAACTGAACCTTTACCTCTGGCAACTTATTTTGTTTTGTGAGATCAAATCTCACTGACTTAGGGTTTTATTGTTGTGAAGAAACACCATGGCCATGGCAACTCATATAAAGGGAAACATTTAATTGGGGCTCATTTATAGCTCAGAGGTTTAGTTCATTATCATCATGGCAGAAAGTATGGTAGTGTGCAGGTAGACATGGTGATGGAGAAGGAGTTAAGAGTTCTATACCTTGATCAGCTGGCAGAAGGCAGACAACTGGTTTGAATTTCTAAGACCTCAAAGTCCACCCCCTAGTGACAAACTTCCTCCAACAAAGCCACACCTATTCCAATAAGGCCATACTAATAGTGTCACTCCCTGTATACATGAGTGTAAACACTCAAGTATTTAAACATATGAGTCTATGGGGGCCACTGCTATTCAAACCATCGGACTCACTAAGTAGCCAGTCTGGCTTTATCTCCCAGTGCTCCTGTTTCAGTCTTCAAGTGCTAAGACAAGTGCCATACTTGAATTTTCTCACATTTGAAGTAATTTTGCTGGATAGAGAATCTATCAGATCACTACAGTTTTCTTCCAGTATTTTAACTATATTTTTTCCATTGCCTCTGGATTGCAAGTTTTCTATTAAGAAATCTCCTACTATGTTTGTAATAGTCTGTCCTGTCTCCTTTTAATAGCCAAGCCACACCTACTCCCTCCCTGATCTGCTAAGGCAGGCTGATCTTCAGCTTCCAGGCTGAGCTCCTTTCTTTTCTGTCTCCCTCTTGAAGAGGCAGCTTCTGCCTCTCCCTACTTCTCCCCTCCCCCAATTCTGTCTTTCTGTCTGCCTCTCTGCTTTTCTCCCCTTCTCCCTCCTCCCCCATATCCCACTAAATAAATATCTAACCTCTCTC